CCCCAAAACCCCAAAACCCCAAAACCCCAAAACCCCAAAACCCCAAGTTGTTTTGACAAAATTGAACATTACTGAAAATGGAGCTTTAAGCCATATTACCTAATTCCTGATTTGACTCACAAGTGAATATAGATATCTCGGATTCCTTGTTTCAAGAAAAATCCTTCCCGCACAAGGGAAGCCAAGCTCCTCATTTCAGTTAGAAGTCAACTTACAGGTTTTGCTGATGAGCCTTCTTAAGCTTTGAAAGATAAGAGTAAGTAGCCTTAGGAACTGGAACGTTTCTGGTAGAAGACTCAGAGCATTCATGGTTCTTTAGATGCGCATCAAGCCTCTTAGAAGCATTAAGAAAGTTTTGACGGGACTTCTGAGAGATCTTCTGGTGAGTCTTGACTGGATTACATGAGCTACCTGCAAAGTCTAACATCTGATTTCTATTCCTAAGTGCATAGATATTCTTCAGTAGGTTCATCTTACAAGTATTGACTGGAGCTTCCTTATAGACTGCTGAAGCTGTGTGATCAAAGGTATGGTTCACTGCATATGGCTTTGTGATAGAACTCATTTTCCCTGTTGGTGCCAACTTCGGAGAATTTCTACCACCTTTCAGTCTTCTTGAGATAGACTTCTTCTTGACTACTGATTTCTTGGACTTCGATTTTTTAGAATTCTTAGATACAATTTTACAATAAAAGCTACTAATCTGTTGCCTAGTAAGATTTTGAACATAATTAGACAGCACTCCGCTCTTCTTAGCCACTTTCTTCAAGCTCTTGTCTCCCAACCTATCTTTATTTCTTCTGAACTCTACTGGGGGTCACCCTCTTCTTCACCTTCTTCACCTTCTTCATCCCTCCAGCCCATATCTTTTCAGGAGTGACTTCCTCCATAGTATGGCACCTCTCTACTGTAAAGTCACCCTTGGCCTTGGAGAAGTTGGAGACCTGGATTGGTTTGTGGAGGAGGCCTGCTCCGGCTTTGAGGAGAGGAGAGATTGTAGAGATTGTTCGGGCTTTGCTGTGGGAACTGGGAGTGGAAGTTTTAGGGTGGAGGCGGGAATTACTGGGCTGTTTGGAGATATTACAACCTCTTCTTATCTTGCTTGCTTGAGTCTTTTTGAGCTCATAGGCCTTGCCCATGATCAATTGGGACATATTTCACTCTCTATCACCCCACTGCTTTTGGTAGTAATCAGTAAGGTCATTTTCAAGCTGAGGTACTTCCTATAGAATTAAAGCATATACATTACCTGATTATGATCATCTATAACTTGCTGAGCATTTAGACTGTCCAGAGGGTTATACTCATAGAAGATACTACGCCTGAATCAGGTGTTACTTTTGGATCTCCTTATTTCAATCATAAAAATTATAACCTTTCAGTAAGGTCGATTTTTAAGGGGTTTTGGGGTTTTGGGGTTTTGGGGTTTTGGGG